ACAAAAAATATAAGAACGTGAATTATCATGCATAATAAGAAAAATATCAATATATAATGTACATATCTGTATCGACATGTCCTAAAATGCAGCAGATTGGTGATCTCAAATCGTCTTTAGATCTATTGGCAAGTGCCTCCTCATATCGTTTCTACATCAGCGAAAAGAAAAAAAATTTAGATTACATAAAATTACGCATACGAAATCACAATAATTTCGAAAATTGCCTTTCGACGTTCCGCAGCCTCAGCCTTTCTTTGGTTCCTTTGTTTTTGGCGCTCTGTAACTTTTTCATTGTCAGATTCTTCATCGCTATCCTCATCAATACCCTCCGATTCAGACTCATCTTCCTCACTCTCAGATTCATCTTTTGACTTTGCATCTTTAACCGGCTCCTGCTTTTTGGCCGCACCGGCTTTTGTAGGAGGTTCCTGCTTTTTGGCCGTATCTGCTTTTGTAGAAGGTTCCTGCTTTTTGGCCGTATCAACTTTTGTAGGAGGTTCATGTTTTTTGGCTGTATCAGCTTTTGTAGGAAGCTCCTGCTTTTTGGCCGTATCAGCTTTTATAGGAGCCGTCGGTGGGGTTTCAACTGAAGTAATTATATATAACGTGAAATGTTAATTTAACATGCACACAGTTCAACGTGATTATCTTAAAGATTAAAATATACCATCATTTGTTGAGATCTTTTCATCATCTGATAACACATCATCTTCTTCATCTGATGATGACGCATCCCATTGATCTTTGATATTGTCTTTTATTTCGATGGATTTATTGTTTTCTATTTCCTCGTCTTCTTCTTTTGTGTCTTTATTAGCGTCAATTTTTTTTTCATCTATATTTTCTAAAGATACTGAATTATTGCCCACTTTTGACTCTGAGGCATCATCCACTTCGGTTTTATCAGAAGTTTGTTTTGTTGGGGGCTTCTTCTTATTAGAGTAAACAACTTTTTTTGTTTTTTGTTCACCATCCTTATCAAGACCCTCTATCTTATACCCAGAGTCTATCATCTGTTGCAACCGCTTTTGGGCTTGCTGCATCTTTGCCTTTTGAGCAGGGTTTAAATATTTACCCTCCTTTTTAAGCCGTTCTTTCTTTTCCTGATATATAGAACTTTGATAATAAGTCATTCTGATTCCTATATTACACAACCAAAATAAAATTTAATTTTCACACCTTTTCCTTGTCTTTCTTTCTCTGCTTGGCTAATTCCTTCTGTTTTTCTTCTTCTTCTTTACGCCTTCGTTCCTCTGAAAATAAATGTTATATGTAATGAAGAACGCAATAAATGAAACCATATGTTATAATGATTACCTTCAATTCGCTTTTGTTCTTCCTCTTCTTGCCGTTTTCTTTCTTCTTCAGCGATACTAAAAATGAGTAAAATGTCAGTTATACATAGTAATATTACATAATATTTTTAACAATTGGACCAACCGCTGAGCCTCTAGTTGTGCACGAATAGCCGCAATTGGTGGTTTCTTTTTTGCTGGAGCCTTTTTTTCTTCCTCTTTTGTTGATTTATTTTTTTTTTTCTTTTTATCCTTTTTTGAATCATCATTCGCGGCTTCCGGTGGAGCCTGTGGTATCTCTGATGCTGGCGGGTTGGAATCTTCGGTAGATACAGTCTCAGCTGCTACATTTCCCTCTTTAGTGGTTTCGGCACTTTTTGTATTTGACTGCGTTTTTTTCTTTTCAGCATCAGCCTTCTTTTTTTCTTTTTCTTTTTGTTTTTTTAGTTTTTCTTTTTCCTTTTTACTTAATATTCGAATTTCACCACTCTCTTCAACAGGCTTGTCAGATTCAATAGGGTTATCGGCAATTTCTTGTTTTTTATTCTTTTTTTTATTGCTGAATTCTTCGTCGATCCAATCGTCTGGCTGCACTTCCATTGTCCTTAATTTTGTGATAACTAAAGATGAAGAGACAGTATTATATCTCAAGGCGCTAAAAAAATTTACAGATCATTTACTTATCAGCTAATGAGACCTAGTGATGTGGCATATCGATGTGATGATATCATCGTCGCAGCAACCGCAGCTTCCCCCGCTACGCAGGTATGTAATTTTTGTTATATCATGATAGAACTTACCAGAACTTCTAACATCGCCTTTTTGTTTAAATTCATGCGATGATTGGTGAGTAAACATTTACGATTTAAATATAAATACCACGGTTTTTCACAAATGTATCTTCCCGCTAGTAAACTTCAAAAAACATATGAAGTCGGAATTAGCACGTTATGAAAATAGTCAAGCAGCAGGGAGGGCGAGCAGACTTTTTTGTGTGTTTTTACACCTTCTCTTCCGTGAGTTTTTTTCGTCAGTCCATTAAAATTGATACTAATTTTTTGGTGTTTTTATATGAAGCGAACATAAATCTCTCATTAATCACATCGTTATTCGTATGAAAACTTCTTTTTCTGACTTTGAGTGATGAAGTCACGAGAAGGTGGGCTTAAAAAATAGTGACTAATTGTGGTGTGTTTTTACACCCTTCAGTCTGCAA